GACGGAGAGTGTACCGCCACCAGGGGGCAGGGTTGAGGGCCAATATGGAAGGAGAGGGGCAGGAGGCCAAGTCAGGGAAGAGAAGGAAGCAGAGGGAACCAGCTGGCAGAGCACAGGAGCTCACCATCGGGTCAGGGAATCCTGGATGGCGTTGGTGAGTGCATGGCCCAGGTGCAGGGAGCCTGTCACGTTTGGGGGTGGGATGCACATCATGAAGATACCCCGTGGATTTGGTGCTGACACGCTGGAACGCTATGGGGAAGAAAGGATGGGCACATGCTAAGGCATCTTGTCACCTCTCCCAGCCCCCTCCCCCTCCAGGCCTGGTGGCAGTGCCCACTCACTCCATACTCTGGCTTGAAGAAACCCTGCTGCTCCCACCAAGGGTACCAGGCCGCCTCCACGTACTGAGGGCTGTAGGAGTCAGGCATGGTGCCACTGATATCTGGGGGACAGGAAGGCAGGGATCAGTGCTGGAGCTGGGGGCAGCCGGGAAGAGGACGACGGTCCAGCAGAGAAGGGCCTGGGCCTCTGCAAATCTTCACAAAGTAAAGTGGGGGTGGAGCAAGGACAAAGCAGGAAGGGGGCAAAACAGAAGCAGCAGCCCAGCCGGCGTGGCTCAGTGGTTGAGTATCAACCTATGATCCAGGAGATCGAGGTTCCATTCCCAGTCAGAGCACCTGCCCAAGTTTCAGGCTTCATCCCCAGCAGGGGGCATGCAGGAGGCAGCTGATCAATGATTCTATCATCATTGATGTTTCTATCTCTCTCCCTTCCTCTCTCTGAAATTAATAAAAATATTTAAAAAAACACAGAAGCAGCAGCAGCTGAGGAGGGTAGAGGTGAAGTGCAGGGGCCCCTTCCCAGTCCTAGTACCTTTCTTTTCCCCAGGAGGTGTCGGGAGGTCATAGGTAATGACTCCAGGATCCCGCTTCTCCCTCTTCTCTGGTTTTGGTTTCTTTGGCTTGGGAGAGAAAAATATAGACATAGATATCAGCACCACCACCCCAACCTAGCACCAACATCCTGTCCAGCTCCAGCCTCTCACCTCCCTGGGGGGTGGTTGCTGCTGTTGGATCTTCTGCTTTTGTTGAAATTTCTCTAGCTTCTCCCGTTTCTTTGCCTCTTTCTTGAGTTGAGCAGGTGTCTTTGGAGGTGCAGTGACCTCAGGGTCTGGTGAGAGGCACAGACATGCAGACTTAGACCACCGGGGACCCTCTGTGAAGGTGCTGCTGTGTCTCAGGTGGGCTATTTCAGCTGCCCAAGGGCTTCCTCATGCTGACCTCCCACTTCACCCTCCCGCAGGCCTCTTCCCCAGGGATTGTGCCATTCTAAGAGAAAAAAGAAAGTGAGCTGTGTGGAAGACCCCAAGGAACCCCTCCTCTCCTACCTCCACCCTTCCTCACCTGACTGTTGGGAGAGAGGCCTGGCCCCTGAGTACAGAACCACCTCTCCCAGCACAGCCCGGAATTCTGGCTGCTGGACACAGGTGATGAACCAGTGAGTGACATTACCCCAGATCCGGCGGGCAGAGGGGTCCAGGACCTGGGAAGGGGGAAAGAAATCAACTCTTCTTAGTCACCTTTTAGTGAGGTCTGAGAGGAACTTCCTCCACTCTTCCCCAGTCCCTAGTGACTCACATATCGGAAGGGCAGCAGCAAGGCTGTAACAGCAGCCAGGTCAGCCAGAGTGGGAGCCTCCCCGGCCAGGTAGGTGTGCAGCCGAAGCCACTCTTCCAAGGGGCTCAGGGCCCTTCCCAGGGCCCCCAGTGCAGCCTAGCAGGAAGGGGAAGGGGTATGAGACCGGGCTTGGCGTCCTTCCACTCCCAAAAATCATTATCTCTGAGGCCAGTTTCATTTTCTTTGAAATGGTCAAAATAAAAAAAAGCCCTGCTACTTCTTTCCTTCCTTCGATAAATTCCTCCTGAACACTTACTATGTGCCTGTTGCAATATATTAAGTACAGGAAGTTAAAGATTACGTGAGACAACACAATAATTGCGTCAACAATATTTATTAAGCACCTACTACGTGCCAGGTACTTCTCTAAGGAATGGGGGGAGAATTTGAACAGATGGGGCCCCCTTACCTGGTGGAGTTTACATTCTAATTGGGAAGACAATAAATGAGCAAATATATAATATATACCCTATTTTTATCCTTAAGTGCTAGTAAGAAAATTAAATCAGGCTGTGGAAGACAGGGAATTCCAAAGAGAGGGACCTCTATTTTAGATAGTGTAATCAGTATGTGAGGGATCCAGCCAGGGTCTAAGTCACATATTCATTCATTCATTCACTCATTCACTCATTCATTCAGAAATACTAAGTGTCTACCATGTGCTCAATTATACCTGTGTGATAAGGACCAGAAGGCACATCCCCACTCTGGAAGGGCTTAGTTCCAGCCTGGTGTGGTTATCTTTCCTTTCAGTTACCTCCCCACATTTCACTTCTCCTCTCTCGCCCCCCAGCATCGTTCTCTCTCCTGGCCGTGCCTGCCTCTCATCTCTCCTTCACCCAGTCTTTCCCTACAATTCACAGTAACTTCTATCATCAGTTTCAGGCTCATCAAACTTTTACTCAGTGCCTGGCATTAGACTATGTGCTCTGCACACTTCTTTTAATCTTCTCAACATGAAAACTAAAGTTCCACAGACAAAGGGAAGACCAAGGCTCAGAGGTTCCCGGGTGGCAATCTGGGATCTGATCAATCTTCTTCCACATCCGAGGCACTATCTTCCTGTCTCGGTATCCACTCCAATTCTTGCCACCGTCTCCTAAACCTCGCTCTCCCCGCCTTCTCCCCGCTCACCTGGGGGTCCTGGACGGAGCTGCGGAGACCCAAGGCGGGCAGCGTAGCCCCACAGGCAGCGGGTATCAGCTCCGTGTCGGCGTAACTGACCCACTGTTGGACGAGGACGGCAGCCCGGCTGCCCCCGGGGCCCCCCAGGCCTGCTGGCCACAGCAGCTGGGCCACGGCAGTGGCCCCCCACACCCAGAGCCCGCCCGGCCCCTGCTCCAGGGCGGGCAGGCGGGGTGGCGGGAAGGGCGTCCTGCTGGCGGGAGGCGG